CTGAGTGCTGGGATTAAAGGCGTGCGCCACCACGTCCGCTTGAGATGGCTTCTCATAGTGTACAAAGTACCTCTAAGACTGATCATGCCGCCTCCCTCTCAGTTTCTACAGGCAGCGGCAAACTGGATAGTCTAAGTTGCCAGAACCCGGAGAGCGGCAGGGGGCTGCTCAGAGCGGCAGGCTCACGGGTAGGTCTGGTGTGGTTGACGGTGGTGCTCTCTTTCTAGCTGAAGTGGAAGTGCGGGAAGGAGGATGAGTCCCAGGGTGGCTACTCCAGAGACGTCCTGCTGAGGCTCTTGCAGAAGGTACGCTGCTCTGCTAACCCCGCCCCTCCCGTCATCTCGGATGCCCTGGACTTGATTGATGTTGCTGCCCACTCTTTTCTTGTCTGTCTGGTCACCATGGGTCCGTTCTCGTCACTTTAGTTAGCACGTGCCCCTCTGGCCAGCTTCCCTTCCCCGCCTAAGCCTCGCCCTTTCCTCGAGGCTCAGGGTGTAGGGATGTGCTGGGGAGAGGAGGGGGCTGTCTGGAACGAAGGCCCCTCCTCTTCCCTGCTCCCAGAGTGAGGCAGCTGGGCTGTGGACTCGGTGCTCTGCCCACCTCACCTTTACTGTCCCGTATACCTCGGGAAACGAGAACAACTAAATCTCTCCAGCCTTGCTTCCCTGGGTCCCTCGTACTAACAATTCCGGGGCTGGATTGTATCATAATGGGCCACGCTGTGTGTCCAGTTATACTTCCTCTCTTACCCCTGCAGTATGGAGAGGTTCTCAACCTGGTACTTTCCAGAAAGAAGGCAGGCAACGCCATAGTGGAGTTTGCAACTGTCAGGGCCGCGGTGAGTGCTGTGTGGGGCTTGGGGGCCCCTGGCAAGTCCTGTCCTTCTGGACAGGGGCTCAGTATTAAAGGCCCTCCCAATTAGGTGCCCCCACTGCCAGTGGGTCTTTAGGCCAGCTGGAGAGTTGGATCTCCCCAAAGGTCTCCTGGCTTCAAGAATGCCCTGACTTATTTCACTCTGGCTGGCTCCATACCGTACCCTCCCCCCTGCCCCGGCCTGGCCTCCCACCCTGCCCCGGCCTGGCCTCCCCCCTGCCCCGGCCTGGCCTCCCACCCTGCCCCGGCC